CAGACACTTCGCCAAAGGATCAATGCCCACAAAACAGATATTAGACAGGATCACAAAGAAAAAACAGTGTCCTTTCTGGTTGAAATGGCAAAAAACTGTCTCAATGACCTAATCACATGCATCCTACTTCAGAAGACTTTCAAATCTGCACTTGAAAGGGAATCCTCTGAACTGGCATTCATGCTAAAATTCGACACTCTCCGCAGGGGGCTGAACAAAGACCCCAACTACCTTACCCATTACAAAGATAGCTTCCCCAATTATCACCTCTAATATCATTAACTCACAGGCATTTACCTTCCTTCCCCCCCCTCTGCATCCCCCCTCTGTTCTGAAATGTGATTTGTCCTTTTCATATGTGTTCATTTTTTTTTTAATTGTATCCTTTGGTATATATGGTTGTGACTATTTTCTTCCACTCTTTGATCTGAGGAAGTGGGTCTGGCCCATGAAAGCTCATCATCTAATAAACCATCTTGTTAGTCTTTAAAGTGCTACATAGTCCTGTATTTTGATTCATTAAAGATGATACAGCAGTAAACTAATGCTCTCCTCCCAAACCCATCACATTTTAGTTTTTAGCCCTGTATGTAATTTTGTTTGCATTTTAGGAGGTACATTTCACCCAGAAAATGAATTGAGCCAGGGCTGACTGAGAATTAGAAGGTGGAGAAGGGTGGAAGGAATAGGAACGGGCTGCAGCTATACTTCTTTCACTAGACTCTTGCTTGCTATGCTCTTGTTTGAAGGGAAGGTGGCAGTACCAGCACAAGAATCCTCTCTGCCCCCAACAGCCAGGACAAGTGCTGTTTATGTTATTTTTATTATTATTATTATTATACCCAGGGGCGGCCCGAGGCGGGCTGCCAGCAGCTGGCGCCCCAGGCGGAATGCGCGATCGGCACCCCCACCTCCAGGACCCTCAATGGTGTGACGTCATCATTGGGCGCCCCGTTTCACACGGCGCCCTAGGCGACGGCCGAGTTGGCCTATACGCATGGGCCGCCCCTGATTATACCCCATTTGTGACGTAGACTTGAGCCAAAGCCGTGATTTGGTCCTGTTAAAAAAACACGAGGGCTACGTCTACACTGGCCCCGATCCTCTGGAAAAAAGCCCTTTGAAGTAGGAATAAGAGATCCTCCGGAAAAGGGCTTTTTTCCGGAGGATCGGGGCCAGTGTAGACGCTCTTTTCCGGCTTTTCTAAAAGCCGGAAAAAAGCGGCGGACATTTTTATTTAAATGCCGCGGGGGATATTTAAATCCCCCGTGGATTTCCCTATTACGACCTGTGAAATTAGCATGCCCCTTTCGGAAAAGGGGCCAGTGTAGACGAGCCCACCATGTCCTTTGGCATTAGAAATACCCTTTTCTTCAAACACTTGGAAAAGAATTAATAGAAAAAGCCATTTTATGCTGATCCATATTTCCTTCCCTGTTTTCAAAGGGCTCCTTTGCACCGAGTTATCCACTGCCTAACTACTGTAAGCCATCTCTTCCTCTGCAAGACCCCTTTGCAAAGGAGTCATACCCCAGCACAGCAGAAAACAGCAACACTCCTTTCCATTTAATCTAGGATTTCACTTGCCACTAAGAGACCCCGCAGCCCACTGTTGGCCTTGCATGTTGTGCCTTCATTATCAGCTGTAGGCAGCCCCACAAAGGTCATCTCAAGACACCTCTGCTGGTAGCAACCATATGGCTTCCATACCATGTGACACAAGGAGATAAACTTCTCCGCTGCCAAGAGGAATTCTACTTTTCCTTCCCAAGAGGGAATGAACTCTCAGGAGGGCTCATTAATTCACAATGAAACATTTGCAGGCTCCTGCCCATTCGTCGCCAAAGGATTTAGAGTATCCATATTGATCCTACCCCCCACACCCGTCCTCTGTTCTAAAATCTGATTTGTCAATTTTATATGTGTTCACTTTTTTTATTGTATTCCTTTGGTATATATGGTCATGCCAATTTTCTTCCACAATTTGATCTGGGGAAGTGGGTCTGGCCCACGAAAGCTCATCACCTAATAAACCATCTTGTTAGTCTTTAAAGTGCAGCATAGTCCTGTCTTTTGTTTCAGCAAGACCAGACTAACACGGCTACATTTCTATTACTATTCATATTGATCAGGACCTCCCTAAGAAATGCAGCTACCATGGCTAATCCCTCCATGTCTGAAGGACACACAAACATCCACAAAGGCGGGGGCAGGGATTCTCAAAAAATGAGGTGTTTGCTCCGTGTCTGTATGTTTGTTCGTGTGTGAAGTCCGGTATCTCCAGACCTTCCAAGAGCTTGTGTGTTTCCCATCGAGAACATTGAGAAGCTGGGAGTGTCTCCTTCTCCAAGGCTTTGTCTACCCTCTAGGGTTTTTGCGCAAGAAGCTTGTTGCAGAAGAGATTTTCCGCAAAATCTTCTTGCGCAAAAGTGTGTCCACACCTCAAAAGCGCATTGCAAAAGCATGGATGCTCTTGCACAAGAAAGCTCTGACAACCATTCACCTGGGCTTTTTCTGATCAGCTCTTTTTGCGCATAAAACCCCTGTGGAGCGTCCACACACACCTTTTTGCGCAAGAACTCGTGCTCAAAAAGGAGTTAGAAAGAGGTAGACCTACACCGCTAAAACCCCTCTGTTCTGCCGTTTTACTGTAATTTTTCTTGCGCCAAAAAGCACTTGAGGTGTGGACGCCCCGCGGGTTTTTGCGCAAAACCCTGTAGTGTAGACATAGCCCAATGGTATAAACTCCAGTTTCTAGGTTTGCTCAGTCTCAAGGCATTGGACCTTACATTTATCCCTGGTGCTGCGCTAACTAGTCCCTGTTCTGCCCCCCTGGATGATGAAGTGTTGAGAGAGGGAGAGTGCCGCTCCACATCCGGACAGAAGAAGAAACCAGTTTGGGGCCAGGCTGATTTTTTTCCCCATTCGAACCAGTGTCTGGCTCATCTCCGCAGATGGAATGGAGCTGGCTAGCGCTGGAACCATGTCAGCTCTACAGGGTCCCTTTAAAGCTGGCTCCTAGGAGCAGAGCTGACTCCAGCTGAGCCAGGGTGCAGGGCACTGTGCGGTGTGCGTGCCTCTCTCTGGGACGTGTTCATTTCCAAACCTCCAGGCAGCCCGTTTCAGAAGCATTAGGTCACTCTCGTCACCACCACCACAGCCCAGCTCACCCCACCCCGTCCCTGAGTTCCCCTTTGAATGCTGTGGCATTTGTCATCCGTGTGGGCTTGTTGCCTTTTCTTTATTCCACAGCAGCCTGTGACATTTGCATCAGGTCTGGGCCCTGTTGTCTTTCAGTTCCCTGCGCATGGGGCCCTAAGCAGAGGATGTATAATTGGTAGATTTACTCCTACGCCCCCACGGGAGCGGTGTGTACTCTCCCCTTCCACATAGCTAATCCCCGGCACACACATGCACCCGCAGCGCTTCCCGACCGTGCTGCGTGCAGCTGGGAATGGAGAGAGGCAAGGCTTGAAGGGCAAAGGGAGCATCCTGTGGCTTTCAGAGAGGCAGGGGGATGCTAGACTGAGTCCCATGGGCCGGCTGCACGTCTAGAGAAAGCTGGGGGCACTGCAGGGCAGCACACCTTGTGCCTGTCCAGCTCAGCCTGGGTGTGGCCACCAAACTTCCTTCCTCGTCAGATGGGAGATCTGTTTGGTTTCTGGTGGCAGCACATGAAACCCGCAGCCCTAGGAGTACGTGTGCGCTGCGGCTGTTTCTGCCATCTGCTTCAGGTCTCTGAAATCAGATGCCAGGGTTTGCCCAGGGCTCAGGCTCCTGTTGGCCCCAGCTGCTTCCGGAACCTGGGACAAACCCTGAATCCACCCCCGGTGGGCACAAACACATCCAGTCTGTCATTTCTCAGGGGCTGATCTTTGCTCAGACTCCTCTAGTCTGTGGGGTCCCTTGGAATCAGAAATGAACTGGGCTCAGTGAGAGAAAATCCTGACCCACCAGCAATGCCCACCAAGCACCACTCGCCCCCTTCCCTTCCCCTCTGTGAGGACCCAACAAGGTCCCTGTAAAGACATCCTGGCCTGCACTCATACAAGCAAATAAAGCAAGTTGTGTCAGCTGACAGGGCCATACCACTGTTGCCTAGAACTGCACCTTTCCCCAGCATCTGACAATTAACTCCACATTCCTAAACCATCATTGTGAGGTGGGGAGGAAGGGTTATTAGCCCCACCTGGGATGGGGAAACTGAGGCACACAATGGGGAATGGCCGTATCTTCTCACTCACACACAGTCCAGGGGAAGTGGTTGCATGTTGGGGAGAATGCACTCTCCTTATGAAGGCAACAGAGCCAGTCCCCAGCCACCACTAATATCTCTGTCTCTTTCCCCCAGGGGACGGTTTGGCTGGTAGATCTGCGCAGATCCTGTCTGCCACATTCCGGACCTGGTGCAGTCCTTATGTGGGCCACAGACCTTGGCCCTAAGTAACTTACCCAGCACTAGGAGCAGTCCCTGTCAATGTTCCCTCTAATCTTTTCCATCCATGTGCGGATGTTTTCCATCCACATGCAGAATACATTTTATGTGCACTGAGACATGTGCAAATGTGCAGCACCAGGAGAAACAAAAACCCTAGCAGTGGGTGCTCTGCTAATCAACTATATATATATCTGAACAAAATAAGTTTTGTTATGTGCACTGAGGAATGTGTGAATGTGCACCACCTGGAGAAACACAAACCTAGCTGTGAGAACTCTGCAAATCAGCTGAGCAGCACTGGAATTTCTCCTGAGCGGCCGCACAAGAGCACGGCTGACAGGGAACACTGGTCCCTGCCACTGTGGCCTGCTGTGCACTGTCCCCTAGGCCACTCTGCCTTTCACCCGCAGACTTCCCCACACCCTGCCCTCCTGCCAGGAACCCCAAATCACAGCTCTGACACAAGTCACGCTCTTGTTACCCTCCCTTCCAGTGGTGCTTCCCTTCTGCTCCATGGCCCTGGCCTCTTCCATCTAACGCCCCAGCCTCTCTGGGGACTTACCGCCTCTGCTGCTCCTGCTGGTGGCAAGCGAACGCAGCTGCCGGCTGCTGCCCAGTGGGGGCAGAGGCGTGATCCCCCACATGAGAAGCTCTTGCACCCGGATTTCCCCCAGGAGAGGCACCAAGATGGGTTGGGGGCTCTAAGGAGTCGCCTGCTGCCTGTTCCCACGCCTGGGCTGCAGCACAAGGTTCCTGTAGTGAGAGCAAAGAAGTGGCAGGCTGCTCTGTCCCTGCGGCCTCTACCCCACCTCCATGCCAGCCAGCCCCATGGAGACTCACCATGCCCTTTGTGACAGCAGCAGCTCCTGTAAGGTGCCTCCTAACCTCACACCCTCCCTCACACCCTGTAGGGGCTGCCTGGTCATGCCTGGCTAATTTCGCCCGGCCTGGTCTTAAAAAGCTAAATCCTCCCCCCATGTCCCTGAAACCTTCAGCCCTCCCTGGAGAGCCTTCCCAGTGGTCCCGGATCTCCCCATCTCTCCCCAGAGAGATTGTCTATGCCTCTCCTTCCGGAGAGAGTCTCTAATCCCCCTCGGTCACTGCTCACAGCCCAGTGCTGAGCACTGAAACTGACCCCACAGATGGCTTCTGAAAGCTTCCCCACCCCCACCCCCCGTGAATGCCGCACGCTGTCCCGCGCCAAAACTCCAGGAGGCACGAAGCCACCCTTCTCTTTCCCACTATACGAAACACTGACTAGCTAATTACCAAATCCGGTGCTTCGGCTGCAATGTGACGATGAACCGAGAACCAGTCCCACCATCTTGGGCGTCCTTACACCCCTCACCCCTGTGAAATCCACGTCTAAGGGTATGTCTAGACTACATGTCTCTGGCGACAGAGGCATGTAAATTAGACATACTGACATAGTCAATGAAGCGGGGATTTAAATATCCCCCTCTTCATTAGAATAAAAATGGCCGCCACATTGTGCTGGCTTAGCTGTTTGTCGGCTCAAAGCGGCAGTCAAGATGGGGATCGATTAACAAGGAAAGCCGCTGTCGACCGATCCCTTACGCCTTGTGGGATCCCTCATGGGATTTTATTCTAATGAAGCGGGGGATATTTAAATCCTTGCTTCATTGACTATGTCGGGATGTCTAATTTACATGCCTCTGCCGACAGAGGCATGTAGTCTAGACATACCCTTAGTGTTCTGTGCTGTTATTTAGCTCCAATTTACCCCTAAATATCTTCTAAGACCCCAGTAAGCAGTGGAAGTGTTGGTAATGCTGCTAGACAATATTTACTTCCCTTAGTTTGGGACTATGTCGGTATGTCTAATTTACATGCCTCTGTCACCAGAGGCATGTAGTTTAGACATGCCCTAAGAGCAGCTGGTCTGCCTGCCATGTCCAGGCCGTTGACTCACCCAATGAGAGTGCAAAATGCAAATGAGAAGGCGGGGCGAAGAAGAAGGGTGGGGTGATGTACCTCTCCCAGGAGCCCGCATGCCCAGCGGGAGCAGGGGTTCGGGAGATGGAGGACACAGTGGGTGGGACGTTTCACCGCTATTGTCCCACCTCTCAGCACAGTGATGTCACAATCCCACCTCTCAGGTCCCTGAGTCACAGCTCAACAATGCCCTGGGCAGCAGCTGGGGGGGGACACAAGATGGCCAGGTGGACGGGGTGAAAAACCAGCCAGCTTCTGCCCTTCCCTGGCCTGCCCCCCTTCCTGGGACCCAGTGGTATTTGCAAATCATTTTCAACGTCACGAATCTTTCAACCACTTTAATTTCCATCCATCCACTGCCCCCGGGGTGAAATAATGCTCCTTGGTGCTTGCAGAGCTCATCACTTCATCTTTACTGGGCGCTCAGATTGGGAACACACACCACGAGCGTACTGAAGAGGGAAACCCCGGCTTGTTAAGTCCAACCTCTCTCTCTCCCCCCTGGGGTAACCATCCTACCCTTCCCCAGCTATAGCTTCCAGGGCATCTGGAACTCATCGGGCAGTAAGAGAGACCAGTGTGTGGCCTCCACATTTTTCATGTGCTTCCTGGCCAGAAACAAGGCCAGCTGCTGCTTTCTCCTGGGGGTCAAGTCCTTCCCGACCCTCCAGGGGAAGCTGTCTTCACCTCCGAGGCAGGATTTGTAGCTTTGCAACTTGCTGACACACCAGTCGTCCTCCACCTCGAAGCGCCTGCAGACGGCCTCAGCCAGTGACGGACCGCCGCCTCCCCTTCGCAGGACAGGACCTCAGGATAGCGGTGCCTCAGCAGCTGAAGGAGCAGCTCGTTGCTTCTGTTGGACCGGATGTCAGCGAGCTGGTCCGAGGTGCGGACGTGGGTGGTGGTGACTTCATCGTGGGTCCTCCGGATCAGCAGCACTGGCCCCGGGTAGCTGCAGAGCTGCTCGGCCACGTTGAGGTTGAAGTGCTGCCGCACCGTCTGGACCACCAGCTTGGTCCAGCTCTTAGGCATGACCTTCAGGGCCAGGGGGAGCAGGTCGTCGAAGGTGGCGTCCAGCATCAGGGCCCCCAGCTCTGGGTAAGTCTTGGCAGCCCAGGGGGGCGCGGGTGCACCCCCGGACCA